CCAGGAGCTCTGAGTTTTGCTCCCTCGGCTCTGTCAGGCGTCTGTCCCCATCTCGGGGTGGTTTTCCTGTGCATTCACCCGTCCTGGCAGCTGGAAACTCGCAAGGGATCCTCACGGTGCCTGGGGCTCTCCCAGCAGCTCTGCCCGCCCCGGGACCCACCATGTGACCTCCACGGTGTGACCCCCAGCGTGTGACCTCCACGGTGTGACCCCCAGCGTGTGACCTTCCTGGGCTCCGAGGTCGGCTTAGCTCAGCCGACCGTCAGGCGCCATCTGTGCCTGGAAACCCTCTCCAGGCAGATGGGTGCACCCCCCTCACCACCCCCCGCCCCAGGGACCCCTGCCCGGCTGCCTGATGTCACGCAATGTGTTTTATTCCCCACATTCCCCGCTGGTTTCGGGATGGAGGGGTGTCGGGGAAGCAGCCGTCTCCCAGATGTTTCTCTTCCTGTTCTCACTTCCTTAGGACGTTTTGAAGTTCTGACCACAATTCTTCTGAGAACAAAGACCCCGGCATCTGCCTGGCTCTGCCTCCGGGCCTCGGAGATTTACGGGGAGCGAGCACAGGAGATGGGCTCTCACGGAGGAGACGGGGCAGGTGGACGGCACGTGTTTGGAGCAGGAGGCACGGATCCCAGCGGGGCCTGGGGCCCACGTCCACCTCGATGCATCCTGCGTGGCTCACCCCCCCCCCACACACACACACACCTCCTCAGCCTAAGGGAAGAGGAGTGTGGCAGCCGAGGGCCTGGGTGAGTCGGCAGCGGCACGGCTTGTGCAGCGGCTCCCAGCGGCGGCCCTAGGAGGGGAGAGCCAAGAGACCCTGTTGTCTCTGCGACATCACGCAGCACAGGCCCGGGCTTCCTGGGGGCCCCGTGACCCTGATCTCAGCCTCAGAGGCCAGTGGTGAGACCCTCTCCCCTCTCCCTGGACACCTTGGGGGACTCAAGGGGTAGACAGCTCGTCGAGGGAGCCAGCAGACTCTGGACACATTTGCAGGGTTGTTTTTTGGTGTGTTTTTTTATAAACATTTTTATTGGTTTCAGAGAGGAAGGGAGATAGAAACATCAAGGATGAGAGAGCATCATGGATCGGCTGCCTCCTGCACTCCTCACACTGGGGATGGAGCCCACAACCTGGGCCTGTGCCCTGACCAGGAATCGAACCGTGACCTCCTGGTTCCTAGGTCAGTGCTCAACCTCTGAGCCACGCCGGCCGGCACATTTGTGCTTTGAGTGAGAACCTACCACACATTCTGCTGGCAGAGTCGGTGTGGCTGTAGGGAAGGGAGGGGCCAGGGCTGCCCCTGACAGAGCTGGACGTCTGAGGTCAGAGGGGCACCTGTGAGGGCAGAACAGGTTGGGTGGGGGCAGGCAGGATGTGGGGGGCCGCATATCTGGCATTCAAAGCCACGGGAATAAATCAGTTCCCTGGGAACGGAGCCGGAAGAGCCGGCAGGCTGAGTGCAGGTGGCATTCCCCGGGAGGGGAGTGAGGAGAAAAATGTCAAATTAATTCACAGCCGGGGGGAGATGAGTTATCTCGTACCCCACGTGCAATCGTTCAGAGAGGCCCACGATGTAACAACAGAATGTGGGATTTGAACAGAATCCGCTGATGATGAGGGACAGGGCGGTGGACGGGTGCGAGTGAGGCTCTGGAGCCAGAGGCCCTGCTCACGCCCCCGGGGGTCGCTGGTTGGGACAAGTACTGTGCAGGCCTGACACGCCCCATGGCGAACGCACCCTCAAGTGCCCCCGAGAGTCACCCGGTACCCAACCCGCATCCTCCCCTTGGGTGTGGGTGGCACCTGTGACTCACTTCTCACTAAGAGATGAGGGCAGCTGGCTGGCGCAGCTCAGTGGTTGAGTGTCGACCTAGGAACCAGGAGGTCACGGTTTGATTCCCAGTCAAGAGCACAGGCCTGGGTTGCGGGCTCCATCCCCAGTGGGGGGCGTGCAGGAGGCAGGCGATCCCCGATTCTCTCTCATCACTGATGCTTCTTTCTCTCTCTCCCTCTCCCTTCTTCTCTGACATCAATAAACATTTTTAAAAAGAAAGAAGGAAAAAAGAGAGACGAGGGCAAAAATGAAGGTGATGTGCCGCCCCCTCATCTGTGGATGTTGAGTGAGTCCAGGAGGGCTTCCTGGTAGAGGTGACCTTCAGGCAGGCCCTTCTCTGCAGACATCAGACCAGGACTCTGCAACTGTGTGGAAATGAATTCTGCCAACACCCTGCCCGGACCCCCTGGGGGGTGGGGCGTCCCGACGAGGACCCGGCCCAAATCTCCTGAGCTCAGCCTGGGTGGCGGGCAGAGGACCGGCTGCGTCACACCGAACGCTGCTGGACGCCAGAAATGCCTTCCAGCCTCTGGTCAGTGCTGCACGGCCGTAGCAAAGGACTACACACAGGAGCTATATTTGGACAAACGTCTGCATTCACAAGTTCTTGGTGAGATATGTACGCGTTTGAGTCAGCATTTCCCCTTGTTCCGGATTGTGCCGTGGGGCGCTGGGGAGGATTCTTAGAAATAAATGCTGCGGAAAGGCCAGATTTGGGAAATTGTCGATTTGTCAGCCCAGGTGAGCTAGCGGCTCCAGGTCAGCTGTCTGGGCGTGTGCGTGTGTGCGTGTGTGCATGTGAGTGTGTGTGTGTGAGAGTGTGTGAGTGTGTGTGCGTGCGTGTGTGTGTGCGTGTGCGTGTGAGTGTGTGCGCGTGTGTGTGTGCGTGTGTGCGTGTGAGTGCGTGTGTGCTTGTGCGTGTGCATGTGAGTGTGCGTGCGTGCGTGTGTGCATGTGTGTGCGTGCATGTGAGTGCGTGTGTGTGTGCGTGTGCGTGTGAGTGTGTGCGCGTGTGTGTGTGCGTGTGTGTGTGCGTGGCACGTGTGCATGAGTGTGAGCACGAGAAAGGTGTGGATGTGCAGGTAGTGTGTGTGTGTGTGCGCATGTGTGTGTGGGTGTGCATTTGTGTGCGCGTGTGTGTGCGTGTGTGCGTGTGAGTGCGTGTGTGCTTGTGCATGTGCGTGTGAGTGCGTGTGTGCTTGTGCGTGTGCATGTGAGTGTGCGTGCGTGCGTGTGTGCATGTGTGTGCGTGCATGTGAGTGCGTGTGTGTGTGCGTGTGTGTGTGTGCGTGTGTGTGTGAGTGTGTGTGTGTGTGTGTGTGTGTGTGTGAGTGTGAGAGAGAGAGATTCTGTCTCCCAAGGACAGATGGCAATGTCTGGAGACACTGCTTTTTTAAAAATATATTTTTATTGATTTCAGAGAGGAAGGGAGAGGGAGAGAGACAGAAACCTCAATGATGATTCATGCACATTAAACGGAAATAAATTAGAAGAAATATTTTAGAGGCCGGGGAGGGACCACAGGAGGGCTCCAGGCTGTGTCTGACCGTCTCCCTGGGTCCCAATCCGCGGGTCCCAGCAGCAAGCTAACCTACTGGTTGGAGCGTCTGCCCCCTGGTGGTCAGTGTGAATCATAGCGATGGATAGAACAGTAGAAGGAAGGGTCAGACACTTAGACCTTTATTATATAGGATTTCGGAGAGGAAGGGAGAGGGAGAGACAGAAACTTCAATGATGAGAATCATCGATTGGCTGCCTCCTGCACACCCCACATTAGGGATCGAGCTCACCACCCGGGCATGTGGCCTGACCTGGAATCAAACCTGGTTCGTAGGCTGATCTCAACCCGAGAGCCACGCTGTCCGGGCAGGACAAGGATGTTCCTTACAAGAGATGCCGTGCCCTCATCACGGGAGCCCCTGAGTCCCAGCAGCCCTGCAGGTAGCACTGCCACGACCCAGGGACAGAGGAGGGTGCAGGTGGGGGGACGCTCAGCCAACCTGCTCGGTGCTGCCTGGCTACGGGGCGGAGGGACCCGTGTCTCCACACACCCAGCTGAGACCCATGGAAACGCAGTGTCCCCTGGTGCCCGGAGCTCAGGTGTGCCCAGCCCCACCTGACACCTCTCTCTCCATCTCTCGGCCCCACCCTGCTTCCCCAGGGCATCGGGGAGCTCCTGGCCCTTGGACCCCCTTGTCCCGGCCTGTCCTGGGCACTGGGCACTGGGAGATGTCCTTGTGCCTCCCTCAGGGGCCTTTGCTGCCCTGTGACCAGGACTCAGGTGACCCTCTGGGGTGGGGTTGGGGCAGGTGTGAGGTCAGGAAGCTGTAGCTTTTTCCCGAGGACCTGCCCTCCCTCCTGGACAAGTGAGGGGGCTGTGCTGACCAGGTGCCAGAAGGGCCGCTGAATCCAGGAAGGGGGTCAGCGTGGTGATTCCACTGAGAGGGGCTTCGGTCAGAAAGGTCTGGAGTTGGGGCTCCCGGGATGGGTCCTCCAGGAGGAGGAGGCCAGGTCGGGGGCTGCGGAGGGGCCCAGGGAGAAGCCCGTGTACAGAAGGGGGCACCCACAGGCCTGCCAGGGCCTCCAGCTGGGCTGCCCGGGGCTGGGCAGGGCGGGCGGAGCTGGGAGGGCTGGCAGGGAGGCAGCGGGTCGGTGGGAGCAGGTCAGCCGCCTCCAGCAGCAGCTGGCGGACAGCAGGGGGAGCTTGGAACCTGGCTGGTCTCGTCTTCCTCCCGCTTGGTCACCTGGCCGCCTGAGCCCTGGCCCTGCTGTGCCAGCCTCGGAGGCCGAGGCGTGCTGACGGGCTGGTCGAGGGTCCCAGGCCCCTGGCTGCCCTGGGCGTGGCCACCGGGAGTGAGAAAGGCCCACCGAGGGGACATGTCGGGGGCTTGGTCCTGAGCTCCCCGCCGCTCAGCTATCTCCTGCAGACCACCAGCAACAGAGTGGGGGGCCCAGCCAGGGCCTGGGGGAACCCCTAGCCTGAGCGGGGAGAGCTGCAGGCCTGGAACGGGACACCCTCTCCGGAGCTTTGGGGACTCTGGCGGGACTGGGGTGGCCCCGGCTCATTCCTAGTTCTCTGTGGTGAGCTCCCCAGCGCCTGCTCAGGGGCCACACGTGGTCCCTTGGGTCCTTGCAGATGGGAGCTGTCTCGTCACTGTAGGCTCAGGGTGCCCCCCGTCCCCACTTGACAGGTTTCACCTGGCACCACGAGCACCAGAGTGACTCCGATGGGCCGTCTGCTGCATGGCTGGTCCTGGAAGTGGCCTTCCGACCCCCTCCAGGGCCTGTCCACGCCCACAGCCCATGGTCCAGCCTGGTGCCGGGGCCCAGTGTCCCTCAGGCCAGATTCAGCGCAGCCCACCCAGCCCACGAGGGCCTCACGCCTGCTTAAAGGGGCTCCTGGCCGTTCTGCACAGCCCTGGGGGCCAGGGAGGGGCGGCCGGCGGGGGTGGAGGGACAGGCTGGTGCCAGGCCCCGAGCTCCGAGTGTGGAGGAAGCGCAGGGCCCAGGGGCTGGGCAGTCCCAGGGCCAACGAGAACGAGAGGGGGACAGGGATCCTCTCACCTGTGGGAACACCTGCCCGAGGAGATCCCGTCAGAGGGACGGTCCCTCCAGAGACTACACACCAGCCCCACCCCCAGAGAGTCCGAGAGCGTGGCCCTTGTGCTGGCTCACGGGGCAGTTTTGGGGAGCTGGGACAATGAATTCCTGGTGTCCCCGGGGCCCCGGGCAGGAAGGGGCACGGGGGGCACACCGCCTCACCCTGGCAGGCAGAGCGCCAGCACCCTGATTTACCCATCTGAGTAGTCTAAGTCCCCACCCCATTCTCTTCTCTCTGAGACCCACTTTCCAGACTGGATAGACTGGTAACTCCGCTCCCTCCCCGCTGGCAGCCCGTCCAGGACACGCTCCATGTAGGGAAGGCTTTGATCGCATGTCCCACCCGGAGGGTCCCCTCTCCCCGCCACGGCCTCCCGCCCTGCCCCCTCTCGCTGCTATGCCAGCGAACGGGTTTGCGTTGGCGCGCGGCCAAACCCTGGAATGTGCCTGCAGCGGCTGTTCCTGGAACAGGGACGACAAAGCACAGACTGTCTTGGAGGCGGGCGGACGGGCCGCAGCCTGCCCGGAGTCACGCAGGAGCCGGTGGCCGCGGGGGAGGGGGATGAATGGGCTCACACAGGCCGGACACCCGTGAATGGGCGCCGAGCGTCCAAGCACAAGGCGGGCTTGGAACTGGCCAGCGGGGGCCGCAGACCTGGACGTGGGCCGCCGTGAGGGGTGGGTGCAGGCGCTGAGGGGACACACTGCTGATGTCCCCGGTGAGTGGGGCACAGAGCACCCCAAAACGTAGACTTCTGTGTGATTCAGGCCTTCAGGGACGGGGTGCCACGTCCAGAGCCCAGTCGTTTTGGGGAGCATCTGCACACGGTAGTCACAGGCGTGTCACCTGGACGTGGACTTGGGGTACAGGGTCAGCTCTTCACAGTCACGAGCAGGGTCACGAGGCCCCTGCATGAGGGCAGCAAAGCTCCGGGGACTGTGGAGGCTTCGCCCGATGCTTGAGGGGTGAGGGTAGCCCGCCTGGCAGCATCATGAGTGGGCAGAGACCCGGCTCACGTGGGCGGGCGTGAGAGGCAGGCATGTGGGTGACCCAGGACCCGGAAAGGAGTGTGGCCCCAGAAGCACAGGCAAGTGGGGCAACACGGATGGAGGGGGCGCCGAACCTCAGGCGGCAGGGCTTTCACCCCCAGAGGCCCTGGGAGCTGGGGAGCTGTGTATCTGTCAGGTTGGCATTCAGAGGAGGGGGTACAGGCTGCCCAGATACTCAGAAAACCGTGGGACCAGACGGTGAGGCCTGGAGCCAAGGCCTGGAGGCTGGAGCCTGGTGCGCGGAGGCTGGGCTGCCTCGGACCTGGGGGACGGACCGGGTGGTCCAGACCTGCTTCTGCACCCAGGACTTCGGGGTGACAGGGACCCGCCCTGTCTGCTCAGGGGAACCAGGCTACCCGACCCTCTCGGGGTTCAGGTGGTGGCTTCTAGCGGTGCCATGCTGAGTGTCCCGGGCCCTCAGGGCCAGGCACCCAGACCCTCAGAGTGTGGGCCGTATTGCCCGTACTATTTGGGTACCAGGTCCCCAGTTCTGCAGTCTAACAGAGCACCCATCATCCTGGCTACAGAATGTCTGAGAGGATGGGTGACAGAGGTCACCCCAGTTCTGCAGGGAATGGGGTTCAGTCTGTTAGTGCTCGATGCCTCAGGAGCACCTGGCTGTGGACCCCAACTCAGCTCTTCAGTGGAGTGGGGTGCGGTACTCTGACACTCCGACAGCGGCGTTCAGAACCCCACACGCACACTAATGGTTTCAGGACCCCAGGTACTCTATGGGGTACAGGACCCCACACTCTGACTCGTGGGGTCCAGGCCAAGACATGTCTGGGTGGGGACACCCCTCTGGAGACGGGGGCGGGACGTCCCAGACACCTGGGTGGCAGGAGGGCAGGCGCCCAGCACACAGATGAATAGCACACAGAGCTAGACACAGGGATGAATGGGACCCACACAGGCAAAGGGGGCGGATGGAGTGGGGCGTCCAAACCGCAGGCGGAGGCCACCGGCCTGGCCTGGCACACGGGCCGAGCGAGATGTGTCAGTTGGGCCTTCAGGCAGCTTGGGGCCAGCGCGTGGGGACAGGCTGTCCAGGGCCCTGGTGACCACAGAGCAGCGTCCCTGTGCCCAGACGGGAGAAGGCTGCACAGGGACTCGGGGGTCAGGCGTGTCCCCAGGCATTCACAGGAGTGGGGGAGCTGCTTGGACGCCAGGGTGCCCTGGATGAGCTAGATCCCCCAGAGCTGCAGAGGGGCTCATAGGCCCCTGGAGAAGCAGTGACAGGGTGGGGTACAGGCCCTGGGAGGGACCCCAGTCCCTGGGCCACAGGGAACCTCACTTCTATGACATGGGGGTTAGAGCACCAGCATTTGTGGAGTGGGTTACATACTGCAGTGCAATCAGAGGTGGGGTATGTCCCCTCAATTTCCAGGTGAACTGGTTAAAATTCACCCCCAAACTCCAAAGAGTGGGACTCACATCCCCAGAAATCCAGACTCACAGACACACGAGCACAGACTGGAAAGATGGTGCATGGAACCCAGAGTCTAGCACCTCGATGCTGACATCCAGAGAGAGGGGCGCGGGCTCCCCAGAGGCTCAGATAGTGGGGTGCAGGCCCCCTAGAGGCTCATATAGTGGGGTGCAGGCTCCCCAGAGGCTCAGATAGTGGGGTGCAGGCCCCCTAGAGGCTCATATAGTGGGGTGCAGGCTCCCCAGAGGCTCAGATAGTGGGGTGCAGGCTCCCCAGGTGAAAGGGCTTAGTCATCGAGGAAGACGGGCACCCACAGGCTGAGACCTAGCAAACGGGCACAGGGCTCCTCAGCCCACGGGGACTGTGACAAGCGGAGCCCCCGTCCTCTGCGGTCCTGGGTGCTGGTGGCCAGGCTCTGCGTGGACAGGGCCTGCGTGCAGCCCCTGCACGTCTCATGGCTCCTTGCCAGCAGCTCCTAACTCCCTGAGCCAGCGTTGGCCCCGAATTCCAACCTCAAACCGCCCTAGACCACCCAGGGGAAACCGTCCAGCAGCCCCGCCCGCCAGGGTCTCCGTGAGGCGCTGCCAAGCTGCCCGCTGGGGGCCCCCGGCCTGAGGCCGCCAGCTCTGCTTGGTTTTCCCTTCCTGCCCTGGAACCTCAGCCGCTGTCTCGCCACGGGGGCGCCCCTTTCCTGGGAACGGTACAGAGCGGCGGCTGGCTCACGCGGGGCACACGTATGCGGCCGCATTCTAGGGCCCTGCGTATGGGGCCTGGCATCGTGCCCGCCCACGCGCCTCCCCCGGAGCAGGGTGCCGGCTCCCGGCGTGCCCCACTGCCCCACAGGCCTCCTCTGAGGACCCAGAGCTGTGCCAGCCACTCCCGGCCCCTCTGCTGTCAGGCGCTTCTTCCAAACCGCATCACGGGGCGGGACTTGGCGGGAGGCCCGGCCGTGCGCAGGGATACCCACGTGCCCGTGCCCTGTGCCCCTGAGCCTCTCGTGACTGGCATGGGCACAGGCAGGCACATGCCACCTGCGGTGCCACAGAGCAGCCTCAGAGCCCAGGCAGAGGGAGCGCTGCCCGCCCAGCCCGGCC